GTAAACTCTTCCTCCTCCTCCTCCTCCTCCTCCTCCTCCTCCTCCTCCTCCTCCCTCCTACTCCTCCTGTTCCATCTCTCTCCGCTCCTTCCTCTTCCTCAGACTATTGCTGTCTCCATCTCCTTGTTCTCTCTCCGTCTTGTCCTCGTCCCCCTCCCTCCCTCCTCAACGTCCTGCAGGATCACGGAGACAACTGAGTACAAGAAGACAGCCCCGCACGTCAAACGCCTCCTCGCTGAGTTTGCCGCACGTAGTCGCCTTCTCCCCGCTCCTCTCTCATCCTGACCCGCGGTGCTTGACAGAGCGAGGTTACCTTGTAGCAGCAGAGGACGTCATGACCAGGTGAAGGTGCCGAGGAATCGGAAGGGGAGAATGTTGGTACTGTAGTGTGAGTTGTTTGGGTTCGTACCATCTATGTAATTATTGTACACATGCAAGTATGTTAAACATGAATCAAACCTCTACATTCCCTCCCCCTCCACTTTCTCCCTCCCCCTCTACTTTCTCCCTCTCCCTACCTTTCTCTCCCCTCCCCTCCCCCTCTCCCCCTTCTGCTCCCTCTCCTCCTGCTCTCTCTCTCTCTCCTCTCTCGCCCTCTCCCTCTCCCTCTCCTGCTACACCACTTCCTCCTCTTCCTCCACCTTTCCGACGCGGATTCATGTAGAACTCGAAGATGTCTCTCTTGGTCGACTTGCTGTCGACGATCCTCTTGAGCTCGTAAAGCTCCTCCAGCTCTCTGACGTTCTCCTCCTGCATCTGCTGAACAGCCTGCACACACTTCAGCACGCAGCTGCACCACCCGCACCTCTCGTCACCGCCAGCTCTCTCCTCCTCTGCCCAATCCGCTCCTCCAGCTTCCTCCGTCTGCTCTCCTCCTCCTCCAGCTCCATCTCGTTGCGATCAAGGACGAGCTTCAGCCGCGACATCTCGGCCTTCAGCTCATGATCCTCCACCTGATAGAACTGCTCTGCATGCCCTAGTTGTCTCCTGAGCTGCCGGATCGAGTCGGCATCCTGCATGTTGTGTCCCATGACACCCTCGAGGACGAAGGAGACGGGTTGTTCGATCATGTAGTTCTTCATCCGCTTCTTCCACTGCTCTGACTGCTGCTTCGGCGCTGCTTTCCCCAGGCCGGACGGCGGGCCCAGACTGCATCGCTGGAATCAGCGACCGATGGATCAGAGTCCGATCTCTTCCCACCCCCCCTCCTCCTTTCCCTCCTCCTCCTCTCCCACAACAGCCTCCTACCCTTCCTCTTCAACCACCAGCGCTTACCTTGGGCTTGACGACAGACTAGCAAATGTGACGCGAGGAAGGCCGGGCCTCCCGAAGTAGACGCCCTTCACAGAGCTAGAGACGCCATTACGACTCCCCCATGCGAGCTGAGGGCCTCGAGGCATCTCATACGGTCTCAGCCTGCAGTTCTTGATCAGCTACAGCCTCCCGAGCAGGAGGAAGAGGGAGGAGGTGAAGGGAGGGGAGGACTGGCTGAGGGAGAGGAAGGAGAGTCAGAGTCTTGTCCTATGTGTGCAGGAGGATGGAGAAGCTGCTTACGGTTCTCCTCTGCATGCCAGTTGGTCTCCTCCTTTCCTGTGCCATGTCAGATCCGCCGCGGGGAACGACTGGTACGCCATGGCGGTAGCTGGTCACTTTGAAAATGGATCTCACAGCTTTTGAAACAGTTACATGAAAACTGTTGTAAAATTGAACAGCGGTTGGAGCCATAATTCGAAATTCGAAAACATAATTTGAAGTTTTAAATGAAATCTTGCAGCGAAAGTGCCCGATAGTTGGCCGGGCAAAACCCTTGCCATGCGACTGGGCCATGCGAGCAACTGGGAGGAAGGGGAGGGATGGCGATGAGGAGAGGAGATGAGAAGACGAGAAGCGAAGAGACAGCAGAGAGCACATCGATGGCCACTATGCATGCTCTTCATGATCCTCAGCCTGATTGCCCTCAACTTCATGTTGTTTGAGTCCATGCGAGAGCATGAACAAGTGAATCGCGCGAAGACGAAGAGGTCTGTGCGGCTTCAGCGAATGGTATGGCCGACGGTGTTCATCATCGGGAGTCCGAAGGCAGGAACTACGTCTCTTGCAGCCATGCTCTTCCATCATCCGAAGTTCTGTGCCCCCAAACATGCCGTCGGCAACAAGGTAGGCCCTGCTTCGTTCCTCCGACTATGAGTTGTTTGGCTGAGATTTTGTTCTTTTATGTTGGTAGGAGGTCAGCTTCTTCAATATCAGACAGAACTTTGAGAAGGGCGCGAGCTTCTATCTCTCCTTCTTTGGTCGAGATCCAAAATGTATGAGGTACAGAGGTACAGCAGCATATGAGTTGTCCCTCCTCGTGGGAATTCAACTGTACAACAGACGATTTTCATGAGTATGTCGATGCAACGCCTACCTATCTTCGATCTGCTGGAGGAGCAGAACGAATGAAACAGACGGTAAGTATGCGCATCCGATGGAGACGTCGGGATGACTCCAACTATCCAACCATCGCACTGACTGAATTTGCAGATCCCCCGATCATTGCATGGGAAGTGTCGGTATCGTTCTGACTAAATGTTGCTGTGGAATGCTAAGATGATGTCTAGATTCATCGTCGTCTGCGAGAACCTGTCTCTCGGCATCTCGCCTGGTTCAATCACCTTGGGCAGGCGAATGGGTTTTCGGAGTACAAGGTCTGAAATGATCATCGTGAAACTGAAGTGACTTGTGTCCTTGTTCCCTGGGTGTGCAGAAATTTCAGCACTGTGCCATTCTTCGACGGGGAGGTTTAGCTTCAACTGTTTCTTGCCCGCACTGAAAGCTTGATTGTGAAGCAAGAAAGGATAAAGCTCTTGAATGCTACCGCGAAGTGGTGAGAGAAGATTTGAGGTAATGCTGCTGTGTCGTCTTGCATGGATCGATTCCTATTCTCCAGACTCCATGCATCGTCGTACAACCTCCAAGGTGGAATTTACGTGCAGCAGCTGCAAGCGTGGTTGAAGAGTTTTGACAGAAATCAGGTCAAGTCATGACGGTATCTCCAAAGTTATTGAGCAGAATTGCAGACTTTCGTCGTAAACTTCGATAGTCTCATGAGTGACTCCAAAGCTACGCTTGCAGGATTGGGCAAATTTCTAGGAGCCGACAATACAGGTTGATAGTCGGGGAGAACGCTACTTATGCGTAACATTGAGCTGGTAGAGTGGAGAAAGCTTAATTTGCCACATCTCAATGCTCAGCATCATCTATCCAAGGCAAGGAGGCAGTCATGATGCTAATTAAGTGGTAGTCTGACTTGGATCGGTCTCACGTAGATCTCACTACAAGACCTTGACGCTCAAACTTGTTCTATGCTGAAGGCAATGAAAAAATGTATCATGCGTCTTATCTAACTCTCGGCAGGAATTCTATGAAACCTACAACCGTCAGTTGTATCATCTGCTATGGAAGGTCGACCGCCCAATCGGTGAACCACAATTTCAGCCCTTCAGTAATCCCTGTACTCTGTAGTATTCAGCCCGGGCAGCCTGTCCGACTTGTGTATTCTTTTGTTTTATTTGCAAAAACCTTGAAATTACATCGTTTCCAAACACAATGGGGAGACAAGGATGGTGATCGAAGAAAAGTGCCCAGCGAAAATCTTCATCGAGTTTTGTTGCCGTTTTCACCTGCGATTGCTCAGTCGACGGGCCAGTGGAGCTGGTGCTCGTACCCATCGCGCTCATGAACGCAGTGAGGGCTCCAGCAGGCGTGGAAGGCCTTCTCTCCAGCTCCACCACGAGGTAACTGACAGGCACCACGGAATCAACAAACGCACATCAGTTGCAAAAAGACAGGAAAAATTACGTTCCACTTCGCTGCAAGCCCAGTCGCACTCGGCTGCGACAAGATCTCAGCTCCAGGGGATGCTGAGCATGCGTCTCAGCTCACCTGCCCGTCTTTCCCAGCAGGAGCGGAGCAACCTGGGCAACAGGTTTCCGTAGAACATCACAGCCATCGACCGAAGCCAAGATGTCTCCGACTTGAACGAGACCGGACGCTTCCGCTGGACCTCCAGGAACGAAGGATCGGCACACCAGGGAGCCGGAGGGGTCAGTACCAAATACTATGCCGCATCCGCACTCCTGCATGCGCAGGGTGTTCAGCGATCGCAGCTGCTCTTCAAAAGGACGCAGTCACCTCTGGCTGCTGCATTGAAGAGTTCTGAGAACTGTTTCTGACTTTGTTGCTAGAGTCATTCCTATGCAGGACACAATCAAGTGAGAAATCACAAGAAAAATATAATTCCTTCTTATCCTGTTGACATAAGAAAGGTCCTTCTCATCCTTCATGCTCGATTCCTCTGAATTCACTACATAAACTTTCTCAATCTCTAATCCTTATCCTCCTGATCCTGTGGTAACTCAAAACTGAACATCTGGATCGCCTCTTTCATACTGGTCTGCTCGGACTCGAGTTCCCTCCAGCGATTGCTCGCTCCTCCACTGCATCTATGGAAAGTCTCCATGGTGTCCCAAGTAACCCCCCTCAGCCTCCTCCACCACCCCCCTCCTCCACCCAGTGCTCTCCTCCTCAAGTTTCTTCATGCACATCTCCTCTCCTCCCGCTGCTCCCTCAGCATTCTTCTCTCTGGCGCGCCATCATGGCGTCGTCGTTGCCTCACCTGAAGCATGCACAATCAAACATGGCGGGTCGTCTCCTGCCAGTACCTTTCTGACCACCGTGGGTCCTTCACCACCCCAGAACACCAGCAGTACCCCATTTTGGACCCAAGACTACCCCTACTTATCACTGGCCAGACACCTTCTGGTACTCATGGGTACCCCCCTTTTGCAAGTGACTTCCCATCGTCCAAATGCCGGCCATGTGTCAAGCAAGAGCCTCAAAATTTCAGCATGGAAAAGAAATTTTAGAAACTCTCTTTCAATATTTGAATATTAGATTCACCATATTTATGAATTGAACCAGTTTTGCTTCAAATTTGATGACAGTCCTGTCGCCTTTCAAGCGCAACGGTCAAAAAACGGATTTTTGACTAGGTCATAACTGAAAAAGTAACGTTACAGAAGATCATCAACGTCCTGTAACTGTTGTCAGAATGAGTAAACCTTCTTCGTAGAAAACATTGAAAAACAATTTCAAATATTTCATATTTACATTTGAAATTTAAAGACAACATCGAAAAAAATCTAATAAAGGTGAGAGTGCCCCAGCACGTCGGGGAGAACAATGGCTGTAGTTAGCAGGGAGGAGGGCGTGAACAAGCAGGAGGTGAAGGAGGAGGCGGAGAGGGAAGGAGGAAAATGATAAAACCAACCCTATCTACAAGGCATACTGCTATACAATAGTCGTGATTCTCTGTAGGGAGATCAGAATACCATCACTCAACCCACTTTTCGAGATTGTGTGAAATGCAGTCTCTTGAAGCCAAGGGTGAGCCTGTGTCAGATTGTCGTGCTCGGACCTGACGAAGAGCACAGACGTTGACCCGGACTCGAGTGACATGGAAACAACTCGAGATCCTGCAGAGATGGAAGGTCGTGCGGAGGGTAAGCAACGTGCGACGAGAGTGTCATTGCCTTGTAATGATGATGTTGCACAGACAACATTGGAGATGAGGAGGAGGACCAGGAAGGGGAGGAGGTTGGGGAGTACGAGAATGAAAGAGACGATGAGGAAGAAGACGATCACAACTATGAGATCACGGACTTCTCCATGGTTACCCCGTGGGAGCGCTTCATTCAGGACGTGGAGGACATTCTCAAGAAATGGGGCCTCGATGGTGGTAAGATGGGCCATGGGTGGGATGGCGACTTCCCAGCAACGAGGGAGCACACGCTTCTCAACAGCTCGAAGACAAAAGGGGTCCAACACAGAAGTATCAACCTGGAGTATGCTGGCCTAAAACTGATCCTGCGGCACGTGGTGTGGCTGCCGGAGGGGCAGAGCGGGAAGACGGGGAGCGTGTGCGGTGTGGAGACGATCTGGAGCAAGCGATCGTCTGCTGCAACATCCTCCAACTACATCCACGAGCTAGGGGGTTGCCACGGCATCGCCAACTACCTCATCCTTGTCCCTGATACTGTGCAGAAGGTACGTGGGCCAGACCTCGGCCTTGCAACCCCTCACTTGTTCCCTCTAGACGCTCTTCCTCGGGCCAGCGCTGACTCATCAGGAGTGTACAACCCTGCGATCGTCCCTAGCGATCGCCCAGAGGAATGTCGGGTGCATTGTCCCTGGGTTCACCCCGTCTGGACCCCGCGCGTCCCCTTCGAGCATAGCGGACTACCCCTACACCTTCCAGGGGCTGCAGGTGCGAGCAGGGGTTGGTGGGCTGCTCTGTAAAGTGTGATGATTTACAAGCTCCCTGTCTACTTCTCTACTGTTGGTTCCTTGATTTCTGACGCGAAGCTGTTCCTCCCTGTTGTGAAGTTGTAACTGATGTTCTGACAAGTCTCTCTACAAGGTGTTCTTTGGCAAGATCAACCGCCTGAGCTGCTACCTGGATGCTCAGCCCTCGCAAGAGACGGCCGACTCGATGCGATCGCCCTACGGAGCGATCCAGTACATGCGCGCCCGCCACTGCCATGCTGAAGACCAGGTGTTGCTGTCGCTAAGAGACACTCATTATGCCATCGAGCACGGACTGAGCAAGGTGAGAGGCGTGTGGGAGTAGGAAACGACTTCAAGTCTGCAGCCCCCTAACATCTTGGATCCTCAGAACCTTGCTCGTCCTCTCTCGCTTCCTTTCAATGAAAGCATTCATGCGGGAAAGCTCGATGGCAAGGGAGAATGGCAGGAGCCAAGAGTGAGAGACGAGATCTTCTGACCTCAAGACGGTCTGACCTTGCCTGCATGCAGGCCAAGGCAAGCGCTAGTGACCCGCCCTGGGGATCATCGACGGCAGAAATCATGGACCGACTCACAGTAGAGCTCACCTGGTGAGACTAGCTCCCATTCTCATGTTTCCTCTTCCTATTCCTCTTCCTCTTCCTCTTCCTCTTCCTCTTCCTCTTCCTCGTCCTTTTTTTGCTCCTCTTTTTCTTCACTTCCTCTGTTCTTCCCCTCCCTTGTCTTTGACTTCACTGGATCACAGGACCGATTTCCAAGAAGAAGAAGTTCCGAGATGCGGTGAGATCCTAACACCTTAAGCATGACTTCTGAAATCATGACGCAACATGACGTCCTGACGTGTCAGAGAAAGTCTCCCGCACATCACGATGCGGCCTGCCCATCTCCAGGGTCTTCGATCCCCCTAGTGCGAACCTTGTGAGCTGAAGGGTACCATCAGGTCCAGCACATGAGCGTCGCCTGTCAGTTCATCGAGGAGCTGCCCTGCCGTCTTGCAGAGTCTCTCGAGAGGGTTTGCAACCTGACAGAGCAGACGAGGAACCTCTCTTCCTTTGCGGAGGTACGTTGCCCTCTGATCCATCCATGGATTTGATACTTACTCCTCCTCCTCCTCCTCCTCCTCCTCCTCCTCCTCCTCCTCCTCCTCCTCCTCCTCTTGCTTCTTCTTCTTCTGTCCTACAATCCTGCGTCTCGTTTTCTTCATCTCTTTTTCTACCCCTTTGTCACCTCCTCCGCCTTCTCTTCTTCGCGCAGATATGGGAAGTAGACGACCCCATCCGGTACGCCTTCAAACGGGGGATGAACCTGCGGGAGACGGCAGGAGCGAAAAATCTGCCGATCAAGGCGCTGCAAGACGCTCTTGAAGAGTGCTTGCCGTCTGATCCCGGTGAGAGCAGGAGCAGGAGCAGGAGCAGGAGCAGGAGCAGAAGCAGGAGCAGGAGCAGGAGCAGCAGGGGCAGGGGCAGGGGCAGGGGCAGGAGCAGGAGCAGGAGCAGGAGCAGGAGCAGGAGCAGGAGCAGGAGCAGGAGCAGGAGCAGGGGCAGGGGCAGGAGCAGGAGGAATCTTGGAAGAGGAGGAGAGGATGGGGTACCTCTGCGAGAAACAGGGAAGGGGGATAAAACGAGGAGTGTTCTCACTTGGAGGCAGACGGCTACACTGCAGATGGCCAATGCGTCAGCACATACAAGCCGAGTAACTCTGAGATTGCGGTGAGGGAACGAGGGCTAGAGATCTGATGTCCTGAGGATGAGTATTGATGCTTTCTTTCTTCTCTTCTGTTTCGTTTTCCTTCTCCTCTCCCCTCCTCTCCTCTCCTTTCCTCTCCTCTCCTCTCCTCTCCTCTCCTCTCCTCTCCTCTCCCCTCCCCTCCCCTCCCCTCCTCTCCTCTCCTCTCCCCTCCTCTCCTCTCCTCTCCCTTCTCTCTCCTCCTCTCCTCTCCTCCCTCCCTCCCTCCCTCCCTCCCTTCTCTCTCTTCGTTCTCCCTTCCCTCTCCTGCTTTCCTCAGGTCTGGAAGGATCTGAAAGTCAAGGCGGCGCCTCCTGGTTCTCTTCTTGCCGTTCTTGCGCGTCATGTGGCAGACGAAACAATCTCATCAAACTTGCGATATGTGAGAAATCAGAACATTAGACGCTCACTTGTCGACATGCTCACTATCACCGTTGTCATCATCAGAATCAACAAGATTATCAGGAAGAAAAGCACCATCATCACCACAATCACAACCACCACCACCACTGTAATTATCATCATTAACGACAACCACAACCACAACCACAACCACAACCACAACAACAACAACAACAACAACAACAACAACAACAACAACAACAACATCATCATCATCATCATCATTTTCACTAGCGGCACCACCATGAATCTTCCCCTTGAGCATCTCTTTCTCACTTCTTCTGCTCAGGTTGCAGTCCTCTGGTCTGAATTCTTGAACGAAATCCGGTCACCTTTGCTCTTCTCTTCTCGCTCCTCCATGACGACACATGCAGCTGGTGCTGGGAGCAAACTCTCCCCATCCCGCGGCTTCCCGAGATCAACGAGAACCATCTAGTGGACATGGAAGCTTGTCTCATCCACCAGAAGCTGCAGCTCATCAACCTCTGCATTAAGAAGAAGGAGAACTATAGGTGCATGACCTTTATCTTCACCCCCCTCTCCCCTCCTTCTCTCCACTCTCTCCTCCCCTCCCCTCCCCTCCCCTCTTCTCCCCTCTCCTCCTCTCCCCTCCCCTCCCCTCCCCTCCCCTCTTCTCCTCTCCTCTCCCCTCCCCTCTCCTCATCCTTTCTCCTCCTCACTCCCAGCAGTCACAAGGTCGATCAAGAAAGCCACTCTTTGGAATTCGACATGAACATCATCGAGAGCCTCCATCGCTCCCTGCAAGACACTGAAAACGAGCAATCGCCAAGAAAGCAAGACAACGCACAAGCAGACGGTTATGAACTCTCGTTATCATCACCTCCACCAGTACCATCGTCTCCTGGGTCATTCTTTCTCATCATCACGTTCAACTGCAGCAACATGACTTCCATGATCGTAGCCACCACCACCATATTGAGGAACGGCAGGGGGAGTAGAAAGATCAGAAGGAATCATCATGAACATCATCATCATCATCATCATCATCATCATCATCATCATCAACAACAACAACAACAACAACAACAACAACAACAACAACAACAACAACAACAACAACAACAACAACAACAACAACAACAACAGTTTTCATCACAATCGCTTCTAGACACTCCTGACGACGCCGCAGACGACGAGGATTTCCATGATGCGCAAGAATCATGGTCTCCTGCTTGCGACGAGGTCAAAAAGGATCTTCCGCGTCTGATCAACTTCGACGCATCATTGAAGGTGAACAACTCGTACAAGTCATGAGATTGAGCTCGAAAATCTTTGCCAGGATCACCTTGAGAAATCCATCTTCATGTCTTTGCAGTACTTGGATCAACTGTACAAAGATGAACAGCGGCAGCCAGAGGTGAGATGAGATGGAATAGAATGTCTCTTTCTATTTGTTTGCCCGTAGTCTTCTTCTGTTCTCATTGATGATTGATAAGTCATATCACTCCATTTCTTGTTTGTCATGCTTTGTCTATGTTTCTCATGTCTTCCTCCCTCCCATTTCCTGATATACAGCTCTTCTGTGCTTGCTTTCGCAAACTCCAGTTCACATCATGATACCAACACAACAAATTCTCTCATCTCTTTGTGTTGTTTCATCATTCGATTCTTTCTCTGTTCTTCGCCAGTCATCCCCTCGTAGTTTCATTTCTCATCTTCTTCGCAGGGCGTCAAGCGAGCCGTCGCAGGTCAGCGACTGCTGAACGTCCCTCGCCCCTTGAACGAGCCGCACACGCAGGTGAAATCATATGTTTCCTTCGTTAACATCAAACACGTTCATAAACAAACATTTCACTTCATCTTCGACATCAAATGTGTTCTTCAACAAACATCTCATCAAATGAATCACCTGAGGAATATTTCTTGTCAGACCTATTCTCATTTCATCACTCCCTTTCAATCCAGTCACAATTTCCCATCATCTTTGCCCCCCATCCATCTTATCTCATCTCTTATCTACCTTACATCTCTCTCTCCGTCTCATTTTCTCGTCGCAGGATCATCCGGTCTTGACTGAAGATCGACTCATGGAGCAGCAGAGCATCATTGAGAAAATGACTTCTTCTCAATCTCCCGGCCCGTCTACCCTGCGAGCGAGACTTTCAGGTTGGCTGGTTACATTGCGGGAAATATTTTTACCCGCAGTTCTTCCTCCTCCACCACCACCACCTCCTCCTCCTC